ATCTCAATCGATGATATCAAAGAAAATTTTTGTTCCAATTAATCGTTTACTTTCCATATTTAGAGACCGTCTTTCGGTGTTTTTTTTGGTAATCAGTGTGTGGAAGTACTCTGGAAAGAGAGCAGATGCCTTATCACTGAATTTATATCTACTCCGCTTGGCTATCACGCATCTCGTTTGCACATCTTTGCGGTCTTTGACGAAAATTTTTGTGAAGATGGCTCTTTTGCAATGGAGTAAATTCACAGACATGTATTGATGCAGTTGAAACGCAGCAAGATGGCCAACCAAAGATAGTTATAATCACGAATGTTTGGAAAATAGCTGTAATGGGAACTCTTCTAATGAGAAAAAGTCATCTTATCACTATCAAAGATGTCGCAGCTAAATAATGAGACGTTAATATTATTCTTTAGAATGGGGATAACCCCTATACTCATGTGTTTCGAGCTAAACACCTTTCTTGGATCTGGGATGATCTTTGCCTGTGGGACCATCTATGGATTTATGGCACTTGGTAAAAAGGTGAGGCAGCTATGGTCTAATTAATATACATAGCTCTATACTCTAATCGTTTTATTCCAGGCTGACCGAGGAACTATGATGGCCGCTGGCGATCCAGCATGGAGTCCCCAAGTAAACCAGCCATCTGTTTCATAGGCGATAAGAGTAGTGATATTCTTTTATGCATGTTCTCTTTTCCTCTGAGCTCCCTGTTCTTAATTTATTTATTCATAAATTTGATACCATACAGGTGTCCATTTCGTTCCGTAGAACGAGATGGTTTGGTTACGTCTTGAATTCTCTTAATGCCTCGCATTTGCTGCTCTGGTAATCGGAGTTGTTTATCTTTTCACTTTTACCCGAATTCTTCGTATATTCATAATATTGGCATGGCTTTCATGCAACCTTTTATGATAATTTTCGTGAAAAAGAGGCATCTTTTTACGTCGGATAATATTTATTGCAAATTAATTATACATACTTTGTGACTTCATAGTAACACTCTCCACATTTCTTCATTGTTTTTTGTATTTTGCGGTACTATGAACTCATAGATGCTCGAGTAA